GATCCGTCCTGATAAAGGCAGGTAAGAGTCACGGGAACTTTCCTGATGCAACAGATGCGACTCCTGAATCTGAGCGAGTTGATCCTCCCCCTCCTCTTCATCCTTCTACTCACCCTTCTCTTCATCCTCTCTACCCTCCATCCCTCCTTTATTGTTCCTCCTCTCTCCATGTCTCCTCTCTCCCCAGGGGGGGAAGATAGTGGGGAAAACATCCAAAACGCATATCATACAGCGAGTTAACATTTTGTGCCAAACTATACATGGAAACAAACTCAAACAACCTTACAACAAAAGAGTGTGATAGTCAGTAACGAACTACCCCTCCACAACAACAACGTAGACAATTAGCCAAGGATGTGCACACCAACGTGCTCTACAAAACAAACATGAGACAGTGAGAAAGAACTTTCACAGAAAAATAATAATAACCATAGGAGATATGGTTCTTTCAGGTAAATTTGAGATAACAAATCATCCGTCCCGATAGATGGTTTGCTAATCGTCTGCCTCCACAACTTCCCACCTCTGCCAGCGTCCCTCCCCACTCTATCACATTCTATTCCAACCTCTACCCACACTTTGTATATCTCAGCTATGTTTAGTTCGCGAACTGTGTTGTAGCATAGAGATACCTAGTCCGCAATGGATGCCCATCATCTGCACACAGAACCACATAAGGAGAAACATCGTACCAGGACTAGATCACTGCCTGGCACTACGTGCTGTCCTTTGCCGGTCAGTTCCCGTTAGTTCGAGGGCTCCCGCAAACGCATTGCTCATGTCCGAACTCTACCATCACAGTCCTAGCCGGCGCTCTGAAGATGAAGAACAGGCTTACGAAGGTATCATGAGGAGCTTCCTCCCTGAGATATCAATGAAATGCTACAAGATTTAATCGACCACACACCAGAAAGGAATCAGATGCGATCTACTCCTCACTTGCTACTGTCACTTCAATCCATCAGTTTGTCTGCCGTATTCAGTCATGGACCGTGAATTTACTCCACTCTTTTTTACGACTTTCTATCTTTTCTTTTACATTGTTGATTCTCATATTACCTGTACTTACTTCTACATGTTTGTAACCAATATACTTGTTTACTTTTTTCTACTGTCTACATGTTGAACACAATACCTTGGTATTTTTTTCTATCTTCTCTCATTTCCCAAAAAGTGCTGGTTCTCTTTTGGTCTGAATGTGTGCTTGTGTGTATTCAATTTTATTTACGAGTTCATTTGCTGCCTATTTATTGACACACGATCCGTGTATCCATTATTTTCCTGGTTCTTCTCTAAAGACGAGGGACCAATGAAACGTTTGTCATTGTTGCCCTGTTGGTCCACCATGGAAATACCATTCATTTATTGCTTACAATGACATCTTTTTCTTGTTTCTATTCATATTAAATGGGATGGTCCAGGTACTCTTTAAGCACAGCTGCTAGTATTGGGTAGCTTTTTTACTCGAAGTACATTTTTTTTATAGCTCTTTTACTTTACCTTGAGTATATAGAAGTCTAGTACAGTTACTCCTCCTTCCAACCTTTCACCAGAGTATTTTTTCACAACCACGAGTAATCTTGTACTTCTCCTCCAGTAGATGCTGGTGATACTTTGCGCCATTCATGATTAATCCAACCTGCGTTACATGCTTGATACTAAATGCGTAGACACGTAGACCCTTTTCTCAGCTACACACATCCCTCTCTGCACCTTTATCGCCCCGCCATAACACCATACCTCCATACACCACATGCTTAGACAATACTGTTTGTACAACCCAGCCCAGTAACTATGTCTACAGCGCTTGCATAAGCTAATAATACTCAATATATAAAACAATAATATATAACTAAAATACAAAACAGAGTCCAGGTACCAAGAAAAAGCACACTTGTGTTACCAAGAATACACCCGAGAAAAGAGAGAACGTGCGCCAGATTCTCCTTTGCAAATAATGAACAATTTTCAAAGTATCCCATTACTTATGTTTTATTGCTATTTTATCAGAACACAGTTGACGACATTGTACCTCCGCTGTCCCCGAGTAATAAAAATTAACCTATCTGCGGCCCATGGAAGAACGAGACATCCAAAAACAAAAATGCCAGATATTAAAATAGTAGAAATGTAAGTTCTTATACTCAGATACATATAAACGATATAATTATTATTAGATAACTCAATTTTTTAACATTGAGTACTATTATATTACCAATTAAATGTAATAAATCTCTCAAAATCACTTTAGCCAAAGCAAACATAAATCGTTTATTGAATATATTTAGAGAAAATAGTGAACTTCAGTTTTGGAGAAAGACTCAGTAGCTAGATTCGCTATGACTGTGAAGTTGTTGCGTTTCTCTCTCATTAATTGCTATCACTAGTCTGTAATTTCTTTGCGGAGTCTGTTGTTATTTTATTTCTAATGTTTGGATATTAATCAAATTTAATAGTATTACTATTTATCAATTAAAGGTCCTATGTTTCATTTTGTGGCGCTTTTCGGTTATACCCGTCCCTTCGTGTGTTTATGAGGCTTTTTTGGCATGTAATCGGTCTGCAGAGTCAACTCAAAGTACACCTTTTGGGGGTAGCGAGTAAACTCAAAACAGAAAATACCTCCCCAAACGCCTCGTTGGTGAAAGTATCATGACTCCGCAATCCATTTGCTTACGAAAGCACGTACCCGGAACTAAATTGTGCCAATCGTGAGCCGTTACGTACGCCCGCGGAGCCGTTACTTAACCTCCCGCTAATTGGTCCAAATTGACCAATCACACCACACACCTCAGTGCAGGCAGCCCTGCCGATTTCTGCTTCCGTGCCAGTGGCTGATAACAGACAGTTGGGATCGCGGTGAAATTCCTCTCTGCAGACCATTCTCACAGCTTTTATCACCTAAACTTTTTTCCTCACTCATATCAAGCCACACTTATGTTTTATTTCGGCTGTGAATTGTGTGTGTTCCAGGTTGAGTTTGGCTGTGTATCGCTAAACAAGGAAATCACGGGGGGAGGGGGGGGAAGGGGGTAGGGGGCCGCGGGGGGGGAGCTGCTGCAGCGAGCCGTTTAGTGGGAGAAAGTGAATGACTGCTTGAATACACATACTTTACCAGAGATGCTGCGACCAATGTTGGTTTGGATAAGTTGCACAGTATTTTTATATTTTTAGTATACCTCAAAAATGGAATTATGGATCAGTGGAATGGCCATGACATGGGGACTCTTTAGGCCACGCCATTTTACATTTCAAACATGTCCTCTTTAATGTCAGAGCATCTTGGTAGCTTCCATGACCGTGTAATTGAACCCCAGTATGTCCTGTTCTGAGTGTGGCTTTTCAATAGAAGGGGTCCGTCTTATTGCTCTATGTGTGATTGGTTTTTGCAGTTTATACCCAAATGTCCGTGCACCACAAAAAAACGGTTTTATTGAGTTTGTTCGTCCTTCAAATGAAATATATTCAAGTTTCAAGTGCTTTATTGTCTTACCGTGTAGATATGCGAAATAGTCCCAAGGTCCTCCAGCATGCACCTGAATACAAGACATTCAACACTGAAACAGATAACATGAAGAATCGTTTTGAGAATGCAGTAATACAAATAGAAATATAATTAGTGCCAGGGCTCTTTCTGTAGTCATGGTGATGAATCAGCGATGTAGTGCGGATTTTTTTACTGTGGACGGGGGGGGGAGACACTATGGACGCGCCCGTGAACTGCAACGGGGGAAGAGGGGGGGGGGGAAGTACACTGTTTGTGCGACTCTTTGTTGCTGTCGCGCAACTACATGATGCCATTTGACGTTATAACTCAATATAAGGGCAGGTGCCGCTGTCAGCGAACCGATCCGGCCTTTCTGCACGACTGTCCACTCAAATGCGGGACCATAGTCTCAATTTGTGGACGCGCGACAAATGGATAAAAATGCTGTGTGTTCGTCCCCGCACAGTGGGGACCCTGGTCACCCTAACACACACACACGGTGCTGCCCCTCACACTCACACCACACACACACCACACACACACACACACACCGGCTTCACATCAGTTGCATCAAGCTGATGGTAACCGTTTTTATATAATTATGTGAAATCCGTGCCCATACATGTTTCCGTACATTTTACAAAATAACACTTGCAACTGATACACACTCGGCAATGATTTAATCAGTTTTTTAGACTATTCAAAAAAAAAATCATGCTTCAAATAAGTGGGGTACGGCGTACCCCCGCGTCCAACGCCCACTAACCACTGGTGATGAATGAATACTTCCAGCGCTGTCATAGATCTCAATAGGTCCCTGTTTCACGTCTTTGAACCCTCTCTCTGTTCCATGCCGACCGAACCCCACCCCTCACCTCACCTCGGTGACGGCGGAGAACTCCCTCGCCATCAGCCCTGCGATAACGAAACCAGAAACGCTGCCAAGAGGATGCGTCTGGCACTCTTACCCCAGCGGTGAGTATCAACGGGTTTCCCCAGCGGGGTCTAGGGTTTTTCTCAAACTATTCATACAAAGGACCAGAGGTGGGAAGTCTGGCAGTAAAATACTTAGTTACGCGGCTGTACTGAAGTACATGTTTCTGGTATCAGTACTTTCCTTTCCTCCACTACTTGTTTTTCTTGACAACTTCTTTACATGTTGAACTCAAATACCTGGAACTTTCTACTTCTTTACATGTCCCACCCAAATA